GAGTGCTGAAGTGATTTCTGAAGCTCTTTCAGGGGCGCTCAGGTGTGAGGAGACGGTAGCATAAAGAGTCCCTGACAGCAGGAAACGCTGGAATGACAAAGAATAAGAAGAAATGTTGTCTCTGAGCACCTCATAGCATTTCCAGCCTGCACGGACTAAAGATTATAGATGGCCGTCACTGCCGGTCTGAGTCCCGACTCAGCTCAAAGACACAGACAGGTGAGGAGCACACCTGACCTGATGTCCTGCACTCAGGTGTGTGTGTATCTGTAACCCTGGCATGCTCAGCTGATTGGTGACGGCTCTGAGCCGCAGTTCTCCGTGCTAACAGGCCTTTTTACAACTTTGTCAGCTTTTGAACTTTGAACTGCTGCAGGTTTATAACCCTCTGACCTCCACCTTTATCCGAGCAGCTCTGAACTTTATCTGTTTTATGGTGGATTAATTATTAGAGTTCATTACCACAGACGGGATGCCTTCCCATAAACGGTCACATGACTTCAGTCTGTCTTTTACGAGAGTCGCTGTAAACGTTATCATTGATCCATCATTCCTTGGATTCAGTTAAATTTCCTCCATAAAAACTCAGCTGCTGATTCCAGTTCAGGTCAGACATGCTACAGTCAAACATGTGCCCCGGGGCCCTGAACCAGCCCCCCAGTTGGATAAATCCGGCACACTTAGTGAATGTACAGAGAAAAGTACAGGAAGTGATTAGTGGATCGGTTCTGCTTCTCCTCATTTCCTGTCTGTGTCTTGTGTTTAGTGACGACGTTCATATAAAACACATTCCTAATGATGAGGTCAATGAGTCCCTGTGGCCCCAAAGCTCAGGGTTTGCTCTGAGGTTTATGGATTTGATAAACTTCTTTAAGTGGTCACAGCAGCTCCACCCACCTGCCCAATGATAACCGGTCTGCTGTGACCTCCTGTCTCAGCTTCCGGCTCCATGTTTGGATGGATCTGAGTCTTTTCAACCCTTATGTTCACTGCAGGGTCTGTACTTTACAACGTAAAGTGCACTGAGGAAACCATTGTTGTGCTTTGGCACATAAAACTGAGTTGAACTGGATGTTTCCAATGCAACCAATCAGCCCTCCATATTGATTCCTGTTACTAGAGAAACTGTCCTATCCCTATTGCTGTCCTCTGTGGTTGCCACAGTAACCATTCTTTCCTCCCTGTTGTTTCAGAGACTTTCGGCGGGCAACCATCAGGATGTTTTGACTTTTCCATCTTCTCAGTCGAGTTCTGTTCATCAACATCTGTCAGAACCTCTGTCACCCGCTGGCTCTGCCACACCACCTGCAGCCATGGACAGCACTCCAAAGAATTGGGTTTTAAAGCCTTTGTCCCCCACGCTCCAACCATCAGACCTACGCACCATTGCTGTACCAGCCCCAGGTCCAAATGACCTGGACACCGCCTTTAGGAGCATCTCAGTTTCACACAGTCAGCCTTGCGTAGTTGTCTCCTCCCGGCAGGCCGATGAGTCTCAGGATGTTGTGGTTCAGGCCCGGCAGATTGCTGTGTCACCTGATGGGGGAAACTCCAGTGACGAGTGGCAACCCAGTAGTCCCAGCAGTCCTGGCAGCAGCTCAGGGTCTCATTGTGGGTTTTACTCCTTTGTGGAAGATCCAGCAAGCCCCAAGGCTGAGCATAATGAAGCTTGGATGGTCTCACCCCAGCGCCAGGCTATGCTGGCCACCCTGAAGCAAGAGAAGGGCTTCAAACTACAGACCTACACAAGCAGCAAGAAGCCCGAGAGTCTATTCTCAGAAAGCAACGTAGACCTGCAGTACAAGGTTGATGCAAACAACGGAATCAAAGTGGTTGGTGAGGAAGAGGAGAAGGAGCTTCGCAAAGAGATCATTCGTACCCAAGCTCCAAAGAAGAGTGCTGGGTTTCAGGACCAGCTGAGCTCCCAGGAGGACCTGAGCCAGTCTACAAACAAACTGATAGAAGGTTTCAGTTTAAGCTACAAGCCAGTCAGTTCCAGACCAGAACCCCCTCGTCCTGCTGAGCCCGGAACCATCGACAAGGAGCAGATCAACTTCAACACGGTCCGACAACAGTTTCTGAAGTTGGAGCAGGACCGGCTGAAGGCTCCGTCCAGTCCTCTGAAGTCCCCAAGAACACACCTGAAGTCATATTTGTGGCCAGATCATGATGTAACCACACCAAAGAAGGTGGAGACAAGTAACAACGCAGCACAGTTTAAAGCACCTGAAGAAGACGAAGCATATCGACAGAAGAAGGTGACGGTGTTCCAGACTGAGGAATGTTTGAGCAGGCAAAGCAGCGTGTTTGATGACCTGGACTCTGGACTGGAGGAGCTATCAGGGGAGGTGGGTGGTGGCTACGTCAGCGATGATGGGGTGTTCAACGATAACATACAGCAGCTGAACAGACCCATCAAGTCCACTAGTGCTTGTGAGACCCCAATTGAACGGGAGATTCGGTTAATCCAGGAACGTGAGGAGAACCTGCGCCGCTCTCGAGGCCTGAAGCTTAGTGACAGTTGGGGACAGATGGTTGAGATCAAAACCAAACGCTTACAACCACGACCAGCACCGATCAAAATGAAAGAGAAGACTCGAGTGAGCTTCATTGTCCAGGGAGAGGTCAAAAACGAGAACCAGAATAAGCTTGATCCTTCTCAGAATATCGAAGAGACTAGAAGTCAGTCGGAGCCACGAAACAAGGACAGGTGGACAGAGGAGAGCAGCCAGCCTGAGTCTGAAACAAGTGAAGTCTTTCCATCTCCTTGCTGTCCTCATCGACACCCTGAAGAACGAAAACAGATGAGCCCGGTTCCCTCTTCCTTGATCGAGATAGACTCTGGGGTCCAGGACAGAAGACGTCTTGACCAGGATCAAGTGTTTTCCTTTTCCTCTACTGCCTCCCCAGCATTGACACCTCAAAGTGAAACAGCCCTTCAGTCCTGGAGGGAGAGCCTGAAGTCCACTGGCCTGCAGTGTAGAGGAAAAGGAGCCCCAGACTTCATTGAGAAGGAAATTGAGGAGGCTCTGAGAAGGGAGCAGGAGCTGAGGGAGTCCAGGGAGGAAGCTAAACAGCAGCTGTTCTCTCCAGCTCCTCTGGTGGAACAAGCGACCCAGAAGGCCGTCAGTCAGTTCTACCCGCCGATAAAAACAGGTACGTACTGTTGACCCGATCACAGCAAACTCAAAGTGCCCCATAACTCTCAATGTCAGTTTGTTCTGACAGTCCAATCATGTCTAAAAGTTTTTTGATGTTTCCAGACCTCATTAGATTTTAGTCCTTCGATATCTCAGGAAAGACTTTATATAAATTTCAGCTTAGGACCAAGTATGATTTTTGAGGCTGTTTTCAGGTCAAAGTTCACCACTCCGGCAGGAACAGGGCTTAGCTGTTACTCGGTAATCTTTGAAGGAAAACTATTTTCACCTGTTTGTAACCAACCACATATCTTCCGCCTGTCATTCACTGTCAAAACAACCATCTTCTAAACCTATGTTAGCTAGGTTTAGAAGATGGAAGAGAAGCTTTGGGCCCTGAAAGAGTACATGTTAACTCGACCCACACCAAACCACGATTGAAAAAGTGTTTCCTCTCAGGGGGGATTGGCTGCTGCCCTAAACAGAGCCTGCGCTTTGGTTTGTGAGTTTATTGTCCATCGGTGACACTAACACACCTCTCCGAGGCCCAATGTTCACCAAATATTAGAAAGAGGACTGAACCTACCCAATCACATCAGAGTGGCTCATGGGAGAATTTGCTGACTCAGTGTTTCAGAGGTGTTTATGAGTCTGAACAGTGGCACCCCCCAGCAGGCCTGGACTCAAACCCGGTTCCTCCTCAGAGTCCACACCAGCTCTTGGTCTGAAGGAAAAACTCATCACACTATGACATCATTAAAACTCTGACATGAGATGGTGGCCATGTATGGTCAGACTCTAACCTTCACTGGCCTTATTAAACCCATGTAACACTGTTGTTGGTTCAATGGTGTCTGAGTGATGCATCAGGTGCAGCAGTAAAACCTCCCAGGAGGCCCACATTGACCCCTGCTGCGCTTCACGTTCAGCTCAAGGCTCTCGGTTAGGTTTAGGAAAAGATGGTTTGGGTTGAAATATGGTGTTTCACAGTAACCCTGCTCTGTTGCATTAAATGATTATGTTTCGGGACGATGTGTGGAGCAGCAGTCACAGTGACTGACTGAAGGTTAAAATACATCTCATCACTGTTAGTTTAAATTAATCAGCAGGTTTAAAAGTCAAATATGTGGAAATGTCCATAAAGCCAAACAGTAACCTATAACCGTATTTGCCCTTAGCTGTTCTCAGATGTTCTTCAAAAGAACTATTTAAAGCTTTATTCAAACAGAGCAAAGACAACAAATGAAGTGGTAAAAAAACAAAACACAAAGAAAAGCTGTGAGGCTCACATGTATCCATACTCAGGACAAGCAGGATGTTATACAGTTTCCTCCAGCTCATCACTGTCATTAGTTTGTAGTTTTCAGGGTTTGTTTCAGTCTGCAGTTCCTCTGTCAGGCCACTATTCTGAGAGCATGTAAAAAAGATTTGAGCGCATGTAAACATTTTGTTTTACAAGTGTTGTATTTTGAGGAGAAATTTATTTTGAGCAAAGAAAAGCTACATTTTAAGTTAACAAAATTCATTGCTGCGTGCAAAAAATGTATTTCAGTGTTTGCTGTTATCCATAGAAACACACAGTAACAGCCCCTCTTGCTCAGTTTTTGCATTTGTTCTTGCTCAGATCTCTGCAGACCTGTTCGCAGTGTGTCGCTTGCACTCTCAACAGCTCTGCTCCCTGTGCGTTCAACTCTTTCTGTAGACTGTTATATTTGTGCCATAAAACCAACCAATCACAGACTTGGAGGAAAAAACTTCTGATTGCCTGTTTTGGTCTCTCTTTGGTCTCTCTTTGTTAACTCAAATTTAGTTTTTCTTTGCTCAAAATAAATTTCTCCTCAAAATGTAATGCAACAACTTTTTTTTTATGTGCGCTCAGAATAGTGGCACAAAAATAACGCCATACTGCTGCTGTCATCAGATTTTCACAAGCAACTTTTACTAACAGGGTTTTTTTTGTTTATAAACACCCAGTTTGTGATATTCTGACTTAAGTGACTAACAACAGGTGATGCTGAGGGGGAAATCTTCAAAATAAAAGACACAGAGATCAGAGCAGAGAGACAGAGTGCTGCTGAAGGTTTAAATGTCTGTGGAATCCACTGAAGGAGTGTGAAAATGATCTGCAGGAAGGAAGGTAAACTTGTTACATAAAAATCAAAGAATGAGTAACTCAACGAAAGAAATGATCAAAGTCCAGCGGAGCACAGAAATCCACTTCAGTCAATCAGTAACAGCTGCTCCAAAGCTACACACACTCGCTCATCAGAGCAGATGACCAATCAGCACATTCTGTTATCCAGAGAATCCACGCTGGGAAACATTGCAGCAGCGCAATCTTAAGAAACCGTGCCTCACAGCAGACATGATGAGCAGACTGTAGATAAAAGATGGACCCAACCTCTGTGATGTTACTCATTGGTTTATGAACCCCTGGTTTTAACAGTTTTGCTGCATGATCATCATCAGTGTGCATCCTCAGACTGTACAGGTGTATCACACAGACACAGATATCTGCTAACCAGTGCTCAGTAACATCCAATTATAATCCTCAAATCTCACTGCACACCCAAGCTTAGACCTGTTGGACTGTGTGTTGGTACAGTAACCTCTCAGCAGCCATACAATTGGTCAGATGATGTCATTAAAAATGCTCCAAAATCTCCAACTGCACAAACACGGTGAAGCTAGTGTTACAGGTACCATGTGGCAGCACCTGTAGACAGCTATATATGTGTCCTGCAAGCAGGTCTATTGTAAAAACTAGTTAATTTAGGGCATTTTCAAATGAAAATATCACTTACATTGAAAGTAAAATAGCTTAAATATAAATGAATTCACATAAATGTGATCACATGTTAGTGGATATCACACTACCAGACAGCTAGTAGCTACAGACACATGGAAGTCTTTGAGGACTTACTTACTGCTCCCTCTGCTGGCCGGTAGAGGAACAACCACAGCTCCACATTAAAATGATTCCACTGAATATAACTGAAAACTGGAAAGCTCCACCTTAAATGTGTTTCCTGGTTAAAGTTCTGTTTCCATTTACATAATTTAAAAAAAATGATTGGAGGAAACAGCTGCTGTTCAAACACTGATGACATCACAGCGTGTCACATATGACGTCATTCATGATTTCCTCCACGATGTTTCAGAGAAACCAGCCAGCGTGTCTTCTCCTCGCCCCTCCCTCCGTCTGCCCTCCGTCTCCTTCATCACGGCTCGGCCCTGGACCACCTCCTCTCCCTCTCCCTCCTCCCCCTCCCTAACAGTGCGAGGTCTGACGGAAACTCTGCTGCAGGACTTTGAGGAGTATCGAGCCAAACTGAAGCTGGAGGAGAGTGCAGTAAGTAATTTTGCTCTTTCTGTTTTTTCAGCCTCTTCCTGTTTCAGGAGATGATGAAGATGATAATTTAGAAGTTGTCAATGAAATGATGCTGGACAAATAAAATGGAAGTGAATAAAATAAAAACCAAGGTCCAACAAAGCTGTGTCTGTGTGAACTGTAAACCAGAATGCAACAATCTGTAAATCTATTAAACTAATATATTATTTACTACAGAACACAGAAAACACAGAAAATGTTTAACCATTGTAAATGTTTGAATAAAAATATGAGCTTGTGTTGAATCTGATGGCAGCAACACATCTGGACAGGTCCATGTTTCCTCTTCCGCAACATCAGTCTGTGAGCTGAGGAGAACAGCTGAAGATCACAGAAATCCAATACTGATTTACAGCCTCATCCCTGCGCTCATATCCACTGAATATGCTGATGATGTCATGTTGTGTAGTTGATGAAATGTTCACAGCACGGACTGTGATTCTGAAACAGGGTGGTGAACCTCTGAGAAGCTCCACCTCTCTGAGAGGATCTTTTTCCACCTGATCATGTGACCGACCTGCTGCCAGCTCCCTTTGATCTTTTCTTTTGCACTGCCGGACTTTGACACACTTTTACTGCTCCGTCGCAACTTTTAGGTCAAGTCGCTGCTGCCAAATTCCACATTAGCTCAGATTTGTCATGAAACAGTAAAATGTCTCATTTTGAGTTTTTACTGTGTTTTTGTGCTCTATTGTGGATAAAATATGAGTTTATGGGATTTGCAGATCATTGCATTCTGTTTTTATTTGCAGTTCAACCAGCGTCCTGACTGTTGGAACTGAGGTTTTAAAACTGCACAATAATAACAGAGTCTATTTTTTATTTGTTTGTTTCTTTACAGTACGCAGGAATCCAGCCAGTTGATGAGATCAACAACGAGGTATGGGCTTCTCCTGTAGCCTTAACCCCTTTACTCCTTGTCTCCTTAACTCCTTGTCGTCTTGGCCTGTTTTCAGGTTGTGGAGTCGACTCGAGTCAGTCGACATAAGAACCAGGGAGCTCTGCTCTGGGAGGCCAGACAATTTGCCAACCAGGAGAACCAGTGAGTGTGCCTGACTCCGAAACAGGACTCGACCTCAAGCAGCAGGGCAGGAGATCCTAAAATACGGGACTGAGTTTCTCTCCTCAAGCTGGGATGCAGTGGTTTCTAAAGACGCTCCAACAGAAATGGCTGTTGCTGATTGGTCCTTGAAGATGACAGCAGTTCCCCTTGTCTAATCAGCAGTCCGTTGGTTAGAGCCTAAAACAGAGACAACGTGTCTCATTCATCTAGAGAAAAAAAGAGAGTTCCAGTGTTTATTTGGAGACTTTTAATCTGACACAGCAGCACGGGAAGTTTCTGATTGTTTTCATGATGCATCAAAAATAAAAAAATATTTTTAGTCCTCAGACATTCAGATGGTTCACTGCAAGACACAAACATCTGCCGACAGCTGCAACATTATAGCAGAATTCCAGCGACAGGAAGCTCAGTTTTACCTGCTTTCTGAAAAACACCTGAACAGAGGGTTCTAACTTTCTCCAAAAGATACAGAAACGGGAAGTGTAGCCAAACAGAGCACGCCAAACCCATCTCTGAAACAAAGGTTTACAATGTGTTTTTAGCAGCATTACCAGAAAACCTTCAACACAAAATTAAAGAGTGATTCTCATTGCTTTAACCCCCTAAGACCCGAACTCTTTCATTGCATGCATTTTTACTTTCTCTTTGCTATTTGGGCTGATTGTGACCTGATGAATGTAAAAACAAAGAATTGCCAGATTTATTTATTATCTTTTTTTACCTGATTTTTGTTTATGAGAAAAATGAGATCCACATATGAGGACGTTCGTTTTAAATTTTGATAGAACAGTGGCAGTATAATGTCCCCGTAAGTGGATATCAGGCCCTTGTAGAGCAAAATTTTGTATTTTGGTCTAGACAACCCAAAATGTGATGTCCGCATATGTGGTAACCAGGTCCTAGGAGGTTAAACTGACGTTTCATTCTAGTTTATTTGTAATTTACCTGCATTTCTTTTTTTGTTTCATGTTTTGATTTGATGTAAAGCACCTTTGTAACACATGTTGTATCCCGACATGTGTTACACAAATACATTTACTTACTTAAACACACCGACACAGCACAAAACATAAACACAATAAACAAACACATAACGATGAGGTGAGTGTAACCAACAACATCAGAGGGTACCTGGTGACAGCACAGAGGAAGAACTCTCTTTAATCGGGAAGAAAACCAGGATCAGGGAGGAGGAGACAGGAAAAGAGGACGTAATAAAGTCTTTCTTTACTTCAGTCCACACAAAAACCAACCATATGGACAGCATCCTGCTCATGATACAACACAAAAGGTGATCAAAAAACAGAGGATCGAACTCACTCATACAGCAGATCATTGGATCAGACCATAATCTAGCTGTGCACCTTGTCAGTGTGAACTCGCAGCTAAAGAAAAAGTCACCTGACACCAGATTTAAAATATGTTTCTGGACAGATGAACAAGATGACAATGCATCGAGGTCGGATATTTTTTTCAGCGTTAGTTTCCATTATTAAAAACAACAACCAGTAAATACTAGTAAAGGAAACCACAATAAACTAAAATCGGGTGCAGGTATCTTGTAATTTTTTTCCGCCTAGAAGACTTCGCTCAGGGAAGTATGTTACCGGGGATAGAGGAGGGTGTCGATGATAGAGCGAGAACTTTTAAAGTGTATGACACAGACTTCAATCAGACAGTGTTGTGGCCTTTGCGACCCATATGGACATTGAGATATGTTGACGTAGACCGATCATTAACGGACACTAAAAAGAGGAAATTGACCACAGATATTTGTCAACGATTTTATAACAGATTGGAGAGCAAATACAGTGAATTTTTACAGGTTTATACAGATGGGTCAAAAGATCCTAAGACTGAAGCAACTAGTGTAGCAGTGGTAATTCCGGAGTTAAATTTTAAGATTGCGAAAAGAACATCAACTCGTCTGGGTGTATATGCAGTTGAATTGTATGCCATACTGCTGGCTCTAGAATGGGTGGAAGACAGCAGAGTCTCAAAAGTACTGATATGCAGTGATTCATTGTCGGC